CAAATTTTTCGATGTTAATACAAATCCTAACTTTCAGAGGCCTTGACTTCACTGGCGCCACCGTCTGCGTGTACGCCGATGAAACAAACACCAACAGCGGCATTGACCTCGACTTCGCACGCATCGAAAATGTGAGGTGACAGTCTTTTCCGTTTCCACGCTAGAGCGGACGCAAATTTGAGTCTTTCCACACGATTTTTATGCGACTAGTTATCAAATTTAATATATACCTAATTTTATTTATTGGAAAATTTCATAGCATGATTATCAAAGAGACTCGCTATCTATTCCATTTCTACAACCCTTTTCTCAGTAATCTGATGGACATGCTCGTTGTTAGCATTATCCGAATTAGTTCGGGGCACCAAAATCTCGCATCTTCATCTCTTTATTCCCCAAAGCGGATTCAGTAATCTGTGGACACTCACGAATACTAATACAGGGTCCGCCATTTTTATGGCAACGCATGTTTTTGTTATTTCTAAATGAAACAAACGGTTTTTTTTATTGGATGAGCTAGTAGCCAAGAATTACCTAAACAATTCTCAGACATAATAATTCAATATGCCCACTCTTATTTTTAATGACGGCCTCCAATCTACACGGGAAAGCTTCACAGGAGACACGCAGCATTTCTTGAAGCTGTCTCTTATACACATCTAATANGGACAATTGCCTTCCAGCTTGGTTTTTATAATTTATTTATAATCCCGCTGGAAATATATTATAAAATATATATGTTAATCCAATATTCCTTTATTCCCCATGTAAAATCACTTGCAGTACCGTATCTAAATCTCCCAACATAAGAAGAGTTGTTTTTGCCCAACTGAACAGAAGTGATCTACCGTCATAGTCGATCATAATTTCACTGTCTCTATATTTTAACGTGCTGCCTGCTATATATTAATTGACTCAATTGCCTCGTTCCCTGCGAATCGCAGCGTTATGAATTAAAAGTAAATATTACTTTGTACCTAAGTTGAGCCTCGTGCGTAGAAGTGATTGAGCCTTTTTTGAAGGATTACCTATTTATTTTTTAGAAAATTTCTAAATTCATGAAAGTTTTCTTATCCTGTTCACTACAATTTTCACGAGATGAAGAACCTTGTGTTGCCAGGTGTAGGGTTCCCCTGCAAACTTGAATGTTTCTAGGGAACCAACATCATTACTGGACACCTCTAACAATTCACTAGAATTGATTCAGAATTCGTTTATAGTAAATAAATTGATTCTAGAATTTGAGCAACCACTTTACCTCAGTAGCTATTCTATTACTCTACTCCGCATACACCAAAGTTAACATTAGGTAATCCTGGACTCGTAATACAATCTCAAATGAGAATTGTGAGCTCATATTTTTTGCTCGGGGGCACTGTCAACCAATTGGGAACTGATCTCGTAGCAAATGCTCCTCGCAACTTGCATAGAACCTATGAACTGGGCTCCCTATTTACTCAAGTCCTACCCTGAGTAAATAGGTTTTCATTAAACTATACTGTTATGGCTGCAAGGGTAAAAATTTAAGAAGCTAAAGGCTCCGAGTTTCAGTTATCTTATTTGGGAAGAGTTCATTATTGACTTTATGTGACTTTGCGAGAAAAAATTTATGTGTTGAAATTGTAGAAAATCCTTACCTTCTATAAGCTAATTTCGGTCAGATGACAATAGATATTGTTGGGGTTTGACTAATTCATCATTTGATTTGGCTAATTACAAATCTTTTCTTTTCTTTTGGCTAATTACAAATCTCTTTTCTTCTAATTCGGTGTGGGCAACTTTCTTTGTTTTTCTTAATCTGAATTTGAATATTAGGCTAACTTCAAATTTATGAAAAGCATTATTACCAATTTAGCTTTTCCCGCTAGATCTAGCGTGTTTTCAACGCATTCACCTGGGAAAATGAGCTCTAACGAGAAGAATGCATGTAAATTGTACTTAAAATGATCTTTTCAGCTACAAAGTTTGAATTTTTAGCATATTTTTGCTTGAAAATGCCAGGTTTTATCTTGGAAGTCAATGAAAGAGTTGGCACTACTTGTGCAAGGTCTGAGACAGCCTACCAGTGATTCTTAACGACCGCCAAGAACGCCACACTTAATTGGAGTCTTCAAGATTCTAAGTATTTAAGAATCTAAGGAATTCCGTGCAATGTCTTAGTTGAAATCTGTTTTCAATTCTATGATAACCATCATACAACACTAAAAAAGTTAAAGAATTTATACAGGACAAATAAATTTTTATTACTGAAGGACTTTTGGACCGTTCCAAGACAAAAAAATTAATTGATTACATTTTTTCTTATAAATCTATTAATCAATTTGCACATATGTTCTTCCCTGTTGCTACAAATAAAATAATATGGACTAATGAGTGTATTTAACGTCAGGTCAGTGGGGTATTAATTATACAATTCGTTAACGAATTACTTGGGTAAATTTGTCACGGAATACTTCAACCACGGTGACCACCGATTTTGACCCATCCGCCTGACCTCCTTTGACATATCCGCCTAACCTCCTTTGACCTATCTGCCTTTTTATCTTGCCATTAATATAACTAAAACTACTAGACCGTTCAATCTACGGTACTTTATAGGAGAGTTTATTGCCCATCAGTGGTTTCCTCAATAGTGTTTCCCACGATCAATGATTCGTGGAGAAGACTTGACAAAAAATTCGAAACAGGACTCCTTATCACTGTTTTTGCATGTTGCATGCTCCTGTCCACTTGATTGACTTAACTTTTGACGCAAACAATTGTACGTATTTCCACTTTTGAATAGATTTTTTAGCCGCTTGTATGATTTGGCCTTTGTTGAAGGCTCAAATGAAATGACCCATTGCTAAATGGCAGCGGCATTTATTATCCTCTTAATTTTTTATTTATTATCCTCTCATTAAACATTTATTGTTCCTTCATCATTTGATTAGAAACAGATGGTAAATATGATAATATAACGGATGCACGGGCCTCGTGATTAAAATTAATGTTAAGTAATATTTGTTAAGCTTTCTTGAAATCTTGATCTTTCTAAGATAATATCCTAACATCAACCCTAAAAATTAATTTAAAAATTAAGATGCGAGTCTGACTCTGAAATATGCGTAGCTTAGGACTCGGGAAGCACGTAAAAAGCCGCTGTAAAGGGCAGCCTCAAGCAGCTGGGCAGCTTCCCAGCTAGGTATGACTCGGTGCGTCTAACCTTTCTCATGATGTCAGGCGATTATAAAGTCAGAAAGAGGATTCTGGCCAGAAGCTGATTTCAATCGAGTGGTCTAGAAATCTAAGGTAACTTTAAGTTGATTAACTTCTCTCTTGGGCAGAAGCCTAGGTGGTGAACGAATTTTGTTAGGGAAACAACTTAATCGATCGAGAATTTCTAGTTACCAAATGCATGTGCAGTTGAATCCAAATTGAAGGTATGTCATTGGGTGACCATACACTTCATTCGAAACATTTCATCATTAACACATTTCATCACTAGAGCAATTCATCATGGCACATTTTATCATTGTAGCAATTCATCATTGGTTAGGTGAGATTGTTTGGGCTATGTTAGATTAAGTTAGGTTGGGTTACACCCACACGTACTTATGTCGGCAAAATATACTTTATGCAATAGTGAAATTTAGTGGTGAGATATGCAATGATGAACGGTGAAATGTGCAATGATGAAATGCTATATTGATGAAGTGCACCAATGATGAAATGGGTCAAAGATAATATTTCCAATATAAATTGCTTTAGTGATAAAAATGATGATGATGAAATGCCTCGTATGATAAGATGTCAGAGACACATGTCGTTGCCATTGCGATTTTTTCAGCATGATTCGGTTATCTTAGTATGATGGCATAGATTATTGTTTTTTTTTTCGGCAAATTTTTCGTGTATTTTTTCCTTAATCTTACATTGCGAAATCCTGCGCATTAGAACGTGATGCAGAGAAGCTTGCATTTGATGTCATAAATTTTTATAACAATTATTTAGTTGCCTGTTTCCAATAGAGAGCAGAGAGAGAACTAATAGAAAATGTCTGCATTGGCTTCAGTAAATTGTTTACTTACAAATGAAAGTACCAACATAACCGAGAATCTTTTAGTCATCTATAATTTATCATTCAGTTTTCCTATGTTACGTTTAGAAATTTTACGGAAATAATTGTTGAACTATTGACGAATATCCCTTTGAAGGCTGTACAGCTTTAAATTGATGGTAATTCGATACCATAAAATAGTTACCCACCATAAAATAGTTACCACATCTTCAAGCTCAAAATTAACCGGAAAAAAGCATTGGTTTGTCGGGGGGAGGGTTGGTTGTCGCGACAACGAAGTAGATGACGGACTTTCACAATTTTTTCGTTCAGTTTTCAAAATCCTTTTTCTGGGAACTAATATGGATATTTTCGCATAAATTTGAAATTTCACTATTTTTGGCGCATCAGTAATTATTTAACTTTAATAATATTAAAGGTTATAATATAGTAATATAAAACCTTTCGGCCGTAAAATAAAACCTTTAATTTGGTACATTGAACATTTCTAGAAAACTTTAAAAAAAAGTTCACTGTTGATTTCATAAAAAGGTCAGAGAATTATTCGGTTTGTGCGCGCTGTCAATATGTAACCTCTTATGCACAATATCATCGTTCGTATTTTGACACGACGTGTCCCATATCACATGGCCTGTTGAACGGCATCAAAACGGTGGATATAATATAAGTAATGCCTCGCACTCAGTGATCAGTTTGGGATAACTTTCGTTGTAATTCACAGTTTTTTATTCTCCTGTCGAACTTTCGATGAGTGTAGAACTAAGTCGTTCGCTGAAAACTCATGTTTCAGAGCTAATTCAGTCTCAATTGTGATTTTTTAAATAAACATTAAAAATTTCAAACTTCATCAAAATCTGATCTTGAAAAATTCCCCCTAAAATACTCAATCAAATTATCTAATACCATATGGCATTATCATTGGTTGTGTTATGCACTGAAAAGAGAAACATATCCACAGTTGGCTGCTCCATGACGCCACGAACTACACCCTGGACTCCGCAATGTGCTATTGGCATGTAGTGAACTCCTGTGGCGACTGGAGCACAAGTTGCAAGAATATGGTGAGAATAACAGTTGACGCAATCGATTCATGCACGAGCTTGGAGGAAGGAGAATTTCTCTTTAGCATTAGATGGGATTTTAAAATCGTTGTTGCTGCTGCCATAAAACATAGGTTTTCTCTCTACATTGACACAACTTTTGAGTTATCACCTACAAAATGAAGAATGCCATAAATCACTCAGGAAATGCCGAAAGGCTCAGTAAAATCCTAATACTTGCACTTTATTCACGAAAGAAATTATAGTTTTTGTCTGCCGTTTGAAGTAGAATATCTTCGCCTCAGATACGCCAGCAGTCCGCACAGCTTCAACAACGACTTTTACAATCTGTATGCGCGCAGGTGTCGTCGCTCAGATACACCGGCAGTTCGCACGGCCTCCACAACGACTATTAAATTCTGTATGTCCGCAGGTGTCGTCGGTCAGATACGCCGGCAGTCCGCACGGCCTCAACAACGACTATTAAATTCTGTATGCCCGCAGGTGTCGTCGCTCAGATACGCCGGCAGTCCGCACGGCCTCAACAACGACTATTACAATCTGTATGAAGGCACGTCCTACCGCGGATAGGAGTTCAGAGGCGATGAGGACGCCGCGCAATTGGGCGACTTGGATCTGGCCGTCTCGTCCCTGATAGTGACTGGCCAGGCCCCGTGGACCTTCTATTCGTGAGTCCCAGCAGCCGTCTGGTAATGGTGGTGATGATGATGGCAATTTAAACATAACAATGTTACTGAAAGTATTTAAAACTAATTCTCAATTATATCTCAAATTCGGCTAACGGTTCATTTCTTATCGTACTAAAACGCTTTATTCGCCTAATTATGATAAAAAAATAAATTATAAATGCAACTTCAATCAATTAATTCAAAGCTCTTCCTCAAACTCACATAAAAGGTTATTGCATTTGTCTGAAAACTTAAATTTTGTATAACTATAGAGAGAAGATACTTTGATTCGTACCATCCAACATTTTTTTCCAATTTTATTATAAATCCCAACTTCCAGAGGCCTGGACTTCACTCGCGCCACCGTCTGCGTGTACGCCGATCATACAACCACCAACGGCGGCATTGACCTCGACTACGCAAGCATCGCAAATGTGAGGTGACAGTCTTTCTGTTTCCGTGCAAAAGCGGACGTATATTTCAATAATTTATAAATTTGAATACATGATTATTAAATAGACCTGCTTTATATTCGTTGTCTGCTACTCTTCTTACGGCAACTTGACGGACGATGTGACCTTCGTTAGAACTATCCGAAATACCTCGGAAGATGAAAATCTCGTGAATTAATATCTAAATTACCCAAAGCAGAGTCAGCAATCTGTGGACAGTATGCAACAGTGGATGTAAACAAAACTTCACAGAAGCAATCACGAAAAAATAATTTGGTTCCAATTTGAAAAATATGAAGCTAAGTAACGAATACGGAATATTTAAATAATCAGTCTTATTGATAGTTAACTTGCTATGAGCAAAGATCATGCCATCTAACGCCAATATTCTTAACTATTTCCATTTCAGAATAATTTGTGGACTGAAATCAAAGAAAAAGTATATCATAAAATATTCAAGTTGAGCCAATTTAAACTTAATTATGCGATGATTAAATGTTATTTTTAATGATTTTTTACATTTTTAATGATTAATCGAAAGTGACATAAACAATTCAGACAGAAATTTTAATAAACCCACCACCGCAAAATTAGAGCATGGCAAAAGAAAATTGAAGTCAATATGCGCACCCGGTACTATAAATGAAGTGTGCTCCCGGATACTCACAAAGCTGGCAAAGAAAAGCCACAGGCTCCATCCTCAAGATTTAATCTCTGAAATAACAACTGGAGGTATATCGTCATTTACAACTTGACAATTCTTATATGTACATTGACGACGGCAGATTTTACATGCTCTCCTATTCAATTTGACGTGATATGTTTATTACTCTCAAAATATTTTATTAGTTTCCGCGGTTCAAGCCTATAAGTTGAAGTATATTAAGAGAAAATTTGGCTTGAAATTGTGAAGGTAGCCATGCTAATGAATGAGACTCATCGAATTAACCAAAAATTATAAAATACAGGTATTGGGATTGCATGAATCGTTAGTTCATCAGGCCCCTTATATTTGGCCCGCAGGTGAGCGAGCTCGGCCTGCCCGACAACTCCATCAGGTCCGTGGCGCGCGGCTGCTTCAGCGAGCGCGTGGTGGGCGCTGCGCCGCGCAGCCACGCCGGCGGAGAACACGTCCAGCAGGACGCTAACTGAACTGAGGTGCCTCTGTGCCTTGTACCAATACATGCATTTCCGGAATTAACAGATGTATATGCATACATTTTTCTCGTTTACTGCATGAAGAAGAGTGGCGTGTTCTTTGTACTCATCGAGACAGCATTTGTGTGACGATCTCGCTCCTTGCCCGTTATTTCTTTAAGGTGGCCTGTAGTTTGTTGTACAATGTCTTTTAGCTTTCCTTTTGTGACAATTCCTAAATAATACTGCTGAGAATAAATTAAAATATATATGTCAATCCAATACCCTTTTATTACCCATCGGCCAATACTTTCAGCATCATTTCTAAAGCTACCAACATAAGAAGTGTCACTTTTGTATAACTGAACAGAAGTGATCTAAATCATAGTTGATCATAATTGCAATGTCGCTAGATTCTAACGTGCTGACTACTAAATATTAACTCATTTGTCTTGTTCTTTGAGAACCGGAACGTTATGAATTAAAAGTAAATATTTATTTGTGCCCGCGTTGTGCCTCGTGTATGTGAGTGATTGAGGCTACTTGGGAGAATTATCTATTTGACTTTTGAGGATTTCGAAATTCACGATAGTTTCCTCATCCTCATCCCATTTATTACAATTTTTACCTGATGGAATCCCCTTTGTTGCCGGTAAGGGTTTCCCTTCGCACTTAAATGTTTCTGGGGAACCAGCATCGTTAATGGGAAGTACACGCAGTGACTTACGTATTGCTTAAGTACTGCTAAAGAAACGTAGCTTGTAACGGTGGTATTATTAAAACATTTCGGCTCAAAAATACGTCCAGCAGTTATTCATAACATATTACGCCAGCTCCGAGGTTGCGTAAATCGAGCCTTGCACAACTTTTGAGTGGGTTATCTAGTTACTAATAAAAGGACGAATAATTGTGGAAGATTTCTCAATATACCCAACAATTAATATATTTTCATCCCATTGGGTAACAAATTTTAAACGTGTTCATGCCAGAGACCAATTGGTTTTTTTCTTCTCGTTAGAAAATACAACCATATGTTAATATCTAAATTCTAAAGTTATTAGATCATGCTCATCAGTCAATTAATGCAGTTTATGAGCTGAGAAAAAAATCATTTGTATTTTAACATCATTTATAGTCAAAATTAGGAATTATTGGATGCAGTGGCTTTGCTTGCCTGCAAAGTCGTTGAGGAGGAATCTGGAGGCCAGCGTCATATGTTCTACAGCACCGACTGCAAGCTGCTATGTTGGGTGCAGGAGTGCCCTGCTTTTCGGCCTAATTTTTGCTTGTTGCACCGCACGATGAGTGTTAATAAAGGTGGGAAATCTAATGGACGCACCAGTTTTCTCTCTCCTTTATGAGACAGGGACTTATGTATCTCTAATAGGCAGGCAGTTTCGGTACGAGCAGTGTGGGAAATACAGAAGACGATTTCTCGCGTAAGCAAATTGTGATGCACAAATCCGTCTAAGGTAGTTGATTGTTATAGTCAAGTTTTACGGTAACGTATTTTAATATTAATGTGAGACAAAACAAAGATAGAAATTTTCATTTATAGGGAACTTATTTATGTAAAATGCTGTGATAATGCTATCAATTTATTATCGGCCTTACTAGATGTATTTTTTATTTTTTAGTATCAGTCGGACTTTTTTTATCGAAGTGTTTAGATGAATTTAGAGAACGAACTTCCTTTATTTGCCTATTTTTTCCAAAGAATATGTTCATGTCATCTTTTTTGCCTAGAAGTGTATGCTTACTGTAACTTCAGTCCAATCCTGGAAATTGTTACAAGCCAATACACTTTTAACTTCAGGTGAAGCTCGCTGTCCTGGGAGCCATTGCATCAAATCTACTGCATGTGCTGCATGTCCAGCTGTGTTGCCCATAACTTCAACAGTGAATAGCACCGCGAGAACTATGCACTCAATAATAAGAGCTTGTTCAGTGAAACTTGCTATGTGTAAACACCAGCTGCTCCAACATCGACGTAAACGCATTGCCAACCCACTCTGGGAACATTCAAGTTGTCATGGCAGTGCACAATGATGGAAACAACTATAAAGGTGACATATTCACTCGTCTTGATTCAGAGATTTAGGAATTCACGATAAAATAATTTATCAGGTCTGAAGGCACGTTTCCTGGTCAACAAATATCAATTTTTTAGATCGAAATTGTGCCTACAATGCATTGGCAAATGGTACGAAGTGCAATGTTAGGACATTTTCCTTGCAACGAATTCGAATAAAGTATGGAACGACTTACGCACGACTGTATGGAACGACTTACGCATCTTAAGAATTTATCTGAATTTTTTATCTTTTTATCTGTTCAATTCTTATATCTGTTCGTCTCTTTTTAACAGTAAGTTGATGGATTGCACAGCGGTAAAGCCAGGTGTGTCATGTGTGCAGATACATTCAGTACGGTGTTTTTGATAATATTTCCCTGTGGAATTACCTTTTCAGCCCATTTTAAATTTCTTGTCAGAGATGACTAATTTCATGCTTTGAGTAGTTAAGTACTCTTATTATAAATTTCAAAATAATTTACAGTTGCACCTTACCGTATTTCATCAGGTGATGTTCTGATCTTCTTTATCACTACAGATTCCAGAGCTAAGATTCTCAAGTAGTTTTGAGACGCTCATCATTTACAAATCTATACGATATGCTGTTATCCTCTATCTGGTGCCGTTGTAAAGACCACGAGTAAACTTGTACATGCCTTTTCAAAATAAGGAAGGGGTTACATCATCCTACCACATCATGTATTGTTCTCATATATTATATATAATAGTTTTTAAACAGTTGTCTTAAATTATGCCGTCTGCTGAAACTCCGTACGTTAAGCATCACATTGTAAGCAAAAATGTTATATAGTTTCAATGTTATTGGCACTTAGTGTTCTAATAAGCTGCCCAAACATATTTATATTTTTTTATTGTCAAAATTTGTTTACCCGTTCCTACTTTATAGCTCAGAATGACTCAATTAATAGTCGCTTTGTGATAGTGTCAGTGTGCGTTATTTTACAATTCCCCATTCCCTCCACAATCATTATATATAGCTCTACAAAGTGAGGGAACTATATATATAGTAGAGGGCGTGGGGATTTTTTTTAATCGGAAATCACGTTAGGCTATCCCAGGCCGGCGCGAATTTTGCGCAGCGGTTCTGTCAATCGCGGCAACCACGGTCGCGACAGCGCGGTTGCTGGCAGTGCTTGCCGGCCTGGTTGCTCGCGGCGAGGCAGCCAAACTTCAGCGTCAGGGTCGAGAAACGCTGAGAGCAATTTGCGCTGTTGTGGACAAGCCTGCTCTGTTGACCCCCTGTCGTTGCGCTGGGCGAGCGCTAGAGCAGATATTTTCTCCCACGGTTAGTTTCCAGGCTACGGCGATTTTTGACAGCAGGCTTGCAAGCTGCCCAGAGGCTGCCTTCTATAGCGGCTTATTTACGTTGTAAGACGTGGGAATGCTAGCAGCGTGGTATGAGTCCCTTGAGGTCTAACTCGGGCCAAACGTTTGGTTGTGCAAAACGCCCTAAAGTTTGATTAAGGCTCTGATTGAGCACCGCGAGCCCTCAAGAAGGCTCGGCTGGTGCCCTATGGGATTCTATCACTACGTTGATTCATAATAACTCCGCTCGTAAATTAAATATTAAGCTGACTTTTTCCCGCTTATTCAGTTATTTATTTACAATTTCTCTACAGTAATTCAATAACAGGAGCCTTGTCATTGAATTTCCTGTAAATTTTTCTACGCGAATCATTTATCGTAGGAAATAGTATCGTGAAAACCAGTGATGGGCCATAAACTCTACTATAAATTATCGTAGGATGAACAGTCTAATACTTTTACTTATACTATTGCAAGAAAAAATTGTTCCACTTGGCCTCCTCATATATACTTGAGCGAATTTTTTACCATGTATTTATTTGATTTATTTCAACATTTACTACATCAATATTGTATAATAATTTGAAATTCTCCCTCTTTTGGGAACGAGTTTCGTCGCGCAGCTTGAATCGAAACATTAGAGAAATATGTTCAATCTGGCCCCTGGGTGAGCCCTATGTATTCGTGAAATTATAGATAGACGGTAAATTAACGTTTTTCTTTTTTCACTGAGATGATTTTAGCTTCACCGAGACAAGGGTGAAGAGTAGCGATGAACTCGATTTAGTATTTTGCCGAATCAATGGTCAAGAATCGCGCCGCACTCGCGATACCACTTAAACGATAACGTACGTACAGCTAATTACGGCGAAACTCCCGCAATCAATATAAATAAATTTGGGCCTTAAGCTGGGGTAAATTAGCTTTAAGTGTAACATTGGCCCGAAGTTAAAAAGTTTTGCTTTGCAGTAGGGTGATCATTGCGAGTTATCAACCTAGNATTGCTTAAATTTAGCGCCGCTACCGCTACCGCTAGTGAAAATGTAGCGGCCGCTACATGTAGCGCGCTACTGCCCACCTCTGGCTGCTTCTTTCGAGCCAGCTTCAGTGGGCTGGACAATTGAGACTTCCCGCCCCATGTGGGTGATGATTAATTTAAGACCTTGAATAATTGAGACCTTCCGCCTCGCTGGCGATGTTATATTTTGGCCTCCGGTGCGAAATAGCTTGATAGCTGAATCGTTAGCAAATCATTATACTACTTCTACTACTACTACTTACAATTTTGACTAATTTCGCTCAGAATTGCGCTAACTTTGGCCCGTGCATTCGCACAAATCAAGATAACATCGACAAAGTTCCGAAAAATAAAAAGAAAATTTAAAGATTAAGATGATGTTGAGATGATATTAGAGTTTGATGGGCAAAGCGAAATATTTTCCGATCTGTAAGAAAAATTACAGGAATAATCAGACATTCAAGTTCCCAAATCTAATGATAAAGAATTACAAGTTGAGTTGGAATCCGAAGACTTGGCTGTTGATAACTTTGTGGTTGTTCAATATAACGGACAGATATGTATATACGCTGACAAATGGTCAGCGTTTCTGAAGTAGGACCTACAGTTGAAAGCACGGGAAAAGACCTAAGTTTTGGCTGTGGCCAGAAAAAATAAGTTTGTCTTATTTTTAAACGGCCCCTAACATTATAGTAATACTCGCAAATCCAGCTCGGCTCACTTTCAAACCTACCAAATCCGCCAGTGTATGGCGCCAAACAAGCCGAGCCGGGCAAAATTAAGGCAAGCCGAGCCATGGCTTCTACTGCTTGCTGTGGGGCTCGGCTCGGCAACATTCGGGTTCACCAGCATATTGAGCGGTATGATCAGACTAGTTAGTTTAGTTGCTATGCAGACGCCAATCTGCTTCTAATGATAGGTATAACTCGGCTCGGCCAACCATTCTCATTCTCTCAGGACACTACATAGTTATATAGAAAGAGGATTCTGACCAGAAGCTGATTTCGATCGGGAGGTCATGTACAACCAGAATAACATTAAGCGAGTGTATAACGTCTCTTGGGCATAAGCTATACATATGGTACCCTAATTCAGTCTGGGAAACACATTGATTAATCGAGAACTTTTTTGTCATCAAATGCATGTGCAGTTGATTTCCAATTAAAGGTATGTTATTGACAATGCTGTTATCTCAGCATGATTCGCGGTTATCTGAGTATGATAGCAGCTATCGATGCTTTCTTTTTCTGGTGAAATTATTCATGTATCTTGCCTTGAGTCTCATTCTGAAATCCTGCGCATTAAAACGTGGAGCAGAGAAGGTTGCATTTGAATCGATGTTGATTTTACCAACTATCTAAAACCGAGCCGGGCAAAATTAAGGCAAGCCGAGCCATGGCTTCTACTGCTTGCTGTGGGGCTCGGCTCGGCAACATTCGGGTTCACCAGCGTATTGAGCAGAATGATCAGACTAGTTAGTTTAGTTGCTATGCAGACGCCAATCTGCTTCCTATGATCGGTATAACTCGGCTCGGCCAACCCTTCTCATTCTCTCAGGACGCTACATAGTTAGAGAGAGGATTCTGACCAGAAGCTGATTTCGATCGGGAGGTCATGCATGCACAACCAGAAAACTTTAGGCGAGTGTGTAGCGACTCATGGGCAGAAGCTATACGTGGTACCCGAATTTAGTTAAGGGAAACAGATTGATTGATCGAGAATGGTCTGTCAACAATTGCATGTGCGGTGGATTTCCAATTGAAGGTATGTTATTGACATTTCGGTTATCTCAACATGATTCGCGGTTATCTGAGTATGATAGCAGATATCGATGCTTCCTTTTCTGGTGAAATTATTCATGTACCTTGCTTTGAGTCTCCTTGTAAAATCCTTCGCATTAAAACGTGAAGAAGAGAAGGTTTCATTTGAGGCGATGTTGATTTTACCAACTATCATATACCAACTACCTTTTCAACTAGACAGGCAGAGGTGGGCAGTAGCGCACTACATGTAGCGGCCGCTACTAGCGGCTGCTACATTTTCAGTAGTGGTAGCGGCGCAACATTTAAGGCAATGTAGCGGTAGCGGTAGCGCCCGCTACATATTTAAGTAGTGATACGAGGTTTTGCCGCTACAGTGCTACCGCTACATTTATAGATATAGGCTTTAGGTTTTACCAAATAGTATTTAATATTATTTAAAAACCAGCATGATACATACATAATATAAATTACAGAATAAGACTACGAAAGATTTCTGTGTAATGTTGTCAACCTCAGCCTGTTACTAATGTCAACCTGTTAGTTGTAACTCGTTAAGTTGTTACCAGTTACCACTTACAGGTATTTTTTTATGTTTCAGTTTGCTTACAGTTATTTCTACCCAGTTATTTTTATGTTTCACCTTCCCTATATGGATGTCTACTTTAATCTACTAATCGCAAAAATAATCCATATATATACAAATAAAATACTGAATTTCATATGTATATGTGGATAATTTTTGAGATTGGTAGATTAAAGTAGACATCCATGTAGGGAAGGTAAAACATAAAAATAACTGTAACTTTTATTTACTGTATCTAACCCCTGTCTCTTATACACATCTTAAACCCAAGAGNACATATTGGCGCGAGTCGTCAATGTCTCATCTTTCCCCTATATCCTATGTTACCCAAAAAACAGCTGTGAGTGATTAACCCTTTAAACCATTTCATCCGAAAAACAGGAGGCCGCACTGGCGCACTATTTTCCTGTTATTCGAAACTCGAAAAAAATCAACCGAGCTTCAATCTGAGATAGTTCAGCGCTGATATCTCTCACTACCCAGAAGCTATGCTCGCTTCCAACGCTGGGAATCGCGGCACTTGTGCCGATAGCCTCGTTTTGATAGGGCATTCAAATAGCGTCTGTTGCTGGCTTGCCTCCTATTAAGCAAATGTCTTCATTGAAGAGCCTTACAACATTAAGTGTTCGCTTGTTAACAAAAAGGAAATCCACAATGAAAACTCTTACACAGGCATACTATGTGACTTTCTTCGTTCTAGCGTCCACTCAAAGTTGGAAAGGTAACTCAATCTAATTCCCATGTTTGGCCCTTTTCATCTCTCTTTGCATTGCAAATGCTTTAGATAGGTCTTATAAGCTTCGAAGCTTTCAATTATTTTAAACTGATTTACGGTTACAATTGACTTTCGATTTGGCGGCAACAAGCTTTTTTAATTTTTAATAATTGTCATTTAATAATGTTAACAGAGGCTTCTTGCAATTGCAGGAGCGGACGATTTTCGGTACCTGACAGGCTACGCGGACCTCGGTTTATCCGGCATTCATCACCAGTTCACGGAGTACACACCCGACCTGAGCGCCGTACAGATGGACAACACAATCGAGAGCGCCTGTGCCACGGGGTTGTGAGTGCTCTTATTGCAGTCAGGTTCAGTAAAACATTCCATTGCGAATCCATACGCATTTATGTTGCGTGTTGAAGCGATTCAACACTTGTAGTTACCAGTAAGCAGCTTTGGAAGTCAATTCAATATTGAAAATTGGACTGAAAACCGCCCGTAATCAGCTGAAAACCACAGGAAGTGAAATTGTTGAGTATAATTTGGAAAACGCAATGGCCAAAAAATTATATTGTAGGTAAGCGTTGAAACTATGCTTGTTTCCGATGTGAAAATCTGTACTACATAGAATAAAGATAAGAGCTTATTAACTAGGAAAACACCGAGGAAGTTCTAAGAAATATCAAAGGAACCATTTTCCCATGTTATGTTTCAGAATTTTACGGAAATAATTGTTAAGCTAGTGGCGAATATCCCTTTGAAGGCTGTGCAGCCTTAAATTGACGGTGATCTGATACCATATCATCTAGTTACCCACATCGCCAAGTTCCAACTTAACAAGGAAAAAGCATTGGTTTGTCGGGGGGAGGGTTAGTTGTCACGACAACGAAGTAGATGACGGATTTTCAAAATTCTTTCTTTCAGTTTTCACAATCCTGCTTCCGGGAACTACTATGGCTATTTCCACAAAAATTTAAAATTTTGCTATTTTTGGCGCCTCAGTAAGTCGAGCCCAATGAGATTCTAATCTAACAAGGAACTCGATGTCCGTAAAATAAAACATTTCGGCCGTAAAATTAAACCTTCAATTTGGTACACTGAACATTTCCTGAAAACTTTAAAAAATTTCAACGTTGACTTCATAAAAATATCGGAGAATTATTCGGTTTGTGCGCGATGTCAATTTGTAACCTCATATGCACTATATCATGGTTCGTATTTTGGCAAGATGTATCCATCACATGGCCTGTTGAACGGCACCAAAACGTTGGATATAATATAGGTATGGCCTCGCACTCAGTAATCAGTTTGGGATAACTTTCGTTGTAATTCACAGTTTTTATTCCCATGTCGAATTTTCGATGGTTGTAGAAACTAAGTCGTTCGCTGAAAACTCATGTGCCTCTGAGCTAATTAAATCGTGATTGTGATTTTTCAAACAATCATTAAAAATTTCCAAATTCATCAAAATCCTTCGAGGAACTCAGAATTGGCGGAATCTGGTCTAGAAAAATTTCCCCTTAAATACTCAATCAACCTATCTAATACCAACATGGCATTACCATTGGTTGTGCTAGGTACTGAAAAGAGTAACAAATCCACAGATGGCTGTTCTATAACGCTACGAACTACGCCCTGGACACCGCTATCTGCACTTGGCATGTAGTGAACTACTGTGGCAATTGGACCACATATTGCCAGAATATGGTGAGAATAATAGAATTTTGTATGCCTATAATTATATCTCAAAATCGGTTAACAATTCATTCCTTATCGCACTAAAACGTATTTTTCGCCTAAATATGATGAAAAATAAATTACATATGCAACTTGAATCAATTAATTTGAAGCTCTTGCGCAAACTCATAAAAAAGGTTATTACATTTCGCTGAAAAACCTATATTTTGAATAACTATAGTAAGAGGATATTTTGATTCGTACCTTCCTACAATTTTTTCCAATTATATTATAAATCCTAATTTCCAGAGGCCTGGCCTACACTGGCGCCACCGTCTGCGTGTACGCCGATCATACAACCACCAACGGCGGCATTGACCTCGACTACGCACTCATCGCAAATGTGAGGTGACAGTCTTTTCTGTTTCCGTGCAAAAGCGGACGCAAATTTCAATAATTTATAAATTTAAATACTTGATTCTAAATTACCCAAAGCAGTCAGCAATCTGTGGACAGTATGCCACAGCGTATATAAACAAAACCTTCCACAAGCAATCGCGAAAAAATAATTTGGTTCCAATTTGAAAAATATGAAGCTAAGTAACTTATACGAAATATTTAGATAATCAGTCCTATTGGTAGGTAACTTGCCAAAGGAAATATCGTGCCACCTCACGCCAATATCCTTAATTATTTCCATTGGGAAATATTTTTGGACTGAAATTAAAGAAAAGATGAATTATAAATGTTTAAGTGGAACTAATGCAAACTTAATTAACTGTGATTAAATATTATCTCAGGGCTACATTTGTAATGATTGATGAACAGTGACAAAACCATTCAGACAGAAATTTGTATAAACCCACCACCAGAATATTATAGCATAGTAAAAAACTGAGTTCAATATGCGCATCCGGTACGAAATGAAGTGTGCTCCCAGAAATTAAAAAAGCAGGCTAAAGAAAAGCCACAGGTGCCCTCCTCATGATCAAATCTCTATAATCAAAACTGGAGGTATATCGTCATTTACGTGACAATTCTTGTACATTTACGATGACAGATTTTACACCATTTTTATTTAAATTTGCCGTGATGTATTTTATTACTCACAAAATATTTTACTAGTTTCCGCGGTACAAGCTAAGTTGAGGCAAGTTAGGAGAAAATTCGGCTTGAAATTGTGAAGGCAGCCATGCTCCTGAATGAGATTCATCGAGTTAAACAAAAACTTTACATTATTACATTATTTTCGGATTTCGGACTTTACATTATTCGGATTGTCTGGAACGCCAGTTCATCACGCCTCTTATATTTGCCCTTAAGTTGAGCGAGCTCGGCCTGCCCGACAACTCCATCAGGTCCGTGGCGCGCGGCTGCTTCAGCGAGCGCGTGGTGGGCGCTGCGCCGCGCAGTCGCGCCGGCGGAGAACGCGTATGGGACGCTGGCAATTGAACTAAGGATCATCTGTGTCTTGTACCAATACATGCACTTTCACGATTAACAGATACATATGCATATATTTTTCAGCGTTTATTGCATGAAGAAGAGTGGCGTGTTCATGAAGAAGAGTGGCATCGAGACATCATTTGTGTCCGTTCTTTCTTCAAGGTGGTCTGTAGTTTGTTGTACAATTGTCTGTCCGCTTTCCTTTTTTGAAAATTTCTAAATAATACTATTGAGAATAAATTAAAAATATGTATGTCAATCCAATACCTTTTCATTACCCATCGGCTTATCACTTCCAGCGTCATTTCTAAAGCCCCAAACATAAGAAGTGTCACTTTTGTCTAACTGAACAGAAGTGATCTACGTCATATATAGTTGATCATAATTGCACTGTAGCTAGGTTTTAGCGTGCTGCCTACTCAATATTAACTCATTTGGCTTGTTCTTTGAGAATCGCAACGTTATGAATTAAAAGTAAAAATTTATTTGTGCCCGCGTCGTGCCTCGTGTGTGAGATTGATTGAGGCTTCTTGGAAGAATTATCTAGTTAACTTGAGAGGATTTCGGAATTCATGATAGTTTCCTTATCCTGATACCTACAATTTTTACGTTTTGGATTCCCTTGTGTTGCCGAAAAGAATTCCTCTTCGCACTTAAATGTTTCAGGGAAACTAACATCGTTACTGGGGGACGTATACATAGTGACTTACGTGTTGCTCGAGCGAAGGAAACGTAACTTTCAGACCAATTGTTTCAGACTTTTTAGAAGTGTAGGTTTCATCTGAGGCGATGTTGATTTTACCAACTATCATATAGCTACCTCTTTCAACTAAAGGATAGAGGAAGATGAAATCGAAAGTGTCTGAATGGCTCTAAAAATCTGAATTGAATTCATTTACAAACGGAAGTATCAACATAACCACGTATTTTATTGTCATCTATCGATTATTAGTGATATAGATAAATATACTTATCTTTGTTTAAGTTAAATTAGGTAATATTACTAGCACGTAACATTGTCTTCACTAGAGATAATGAAATTCGTTGAAATTAATACCGTATTGGCGCGAGTCGTCAAAGTCTCATCTTTTCCCTTTATATCCTATGTTACCCGAAAAACAGGTGTGAGTGATTAACCCTTTAAACTATCTTATACGAAAAACAGGCCCCACTGGCGCACTATTTTCCTGTTATTCGACACTCGAAAGAAAAATCAAGTGAGCTCCACTCAGAGATAGTTCTGCGCTGATATCTCTCACTATCTAGAAGCCACGCTCGCTTCCAACGCTGGGAATCGCAGCACATGTGCCGATATATTTGCAGGATATCTAAGTACCCAGTTACAATTTAAGGCCGTGGCGCGGTTGTTTATCGGCGTGGAGGGCGATTATGAGCGCGCAACGGCAGATTGGCAGCTTCTCCCAAATCTCGGCGATATTGCGCTCGTCGGCGGGAAGCGATGGACGGGCCGCTCTGCGACCATCGGCGATAATTTGCGCGAGACTTTAATTAAGGTTGTTTACAAACGAGGGGCCGGCTGCTACTTACGACCATGTTTCGGCTGCTATATATATATAATCGATTCCTCAATCGAAAACGTACGTGCGTAAGTTGGTGTTCGAACCTAAACTTAAACTTTGACATCCACTCCTGTTGAACAAAAGACCGTCGATGATATCGTATACCGATGTTTACACAGAGACATTGCATTTTTAGACATCTTAGAACACTGTCACTTTCTTGTTAAATGGAATACTTCTATCTGACAAAAAGAATGTGTGCTCAGCTCATAATCAATTTAAATGATTTGAATGCTTACAGTTCGACTAAATGCTCGTTCTGCGTTGTCAAGGCATATGATGGAAAGAAATGAGAATTGATTGTACCTATTTTTTAAGCTTACGTGTTGTAAGATAATAATTACATTAATTATAGGACAAAAATATCTGGATTTATTTGGCTATCTTCAAAAACCTCAGGGTGCTTGAAGCCATGGAAATATGATTAAGGAGTGCGAGAGCAGAACAATAAAACTGGAGGTATATGGTCATTTACGTGACAATTCTTGTACATTTACGATGACAGATTTTACACCATTTTTATTTAAATTTGCCGTGATGTATTTCATTACTCACAAAATATTTTACTAGTTTCCGCGGTACAAGCTAAGTTGAGGCAAGTTAGGAGAAAATTCGGCTTGAAATTGTGAAGGCAGCGATGCTCCTGAATGAGATTCATCGAGTTCAACAAAAACTTTACATTACAATTATTCGTATTGTCTGGAACGCCAGTTCATCACGCCTCTTATATTTGCCCTTCAGCTGAGCGAGCTCGGCCTTCCCGACAACTCCATCAGGTCCGTGGCGCGCGGCTGCTTCAGCGAGCGCGTGGTGGGCGCTGCGCCGCGCAGTCACGCCGGCGGAGAACACGTACAAGACGCTGGCAATTGATCTGAGGAGCTCTGTGTCTTGTACCAATGCATGCATTTCGCTATTAATTAAGAGATGTATATGCATACATTTTTCAGCGTTTACTGAGTGAAGAAGATTGGCGTGTTCTTTGTACACATCGAGACAGCATTTGTGCGACGATCTCGCTCCTTGCCCGTTCTTTCTTCGAGGTGATCTGTAGTCTGTTATACAATTGTCTTTCAGCTTTCCTTTTTTGAAACTTTCTAAGTAATACTATTGAGAATAAATTAAAAATATGTATGTCAATCCAATACCCTTTCATTACCCATCGGCTAATCACTTCCAGTATCATTTCTAAAGCTCCAAACATAAGAAGTGTCACTTTCGTCTAACTGAACAGAAGTGATCTACGTCATAGTTGATCATAATTGCACTGTCGATAGGTTTCAACGTGCTGCCTGCTCGATTGTAATTGAGCCTACTATTAACTCATTTGGCTTGTACTTTGAGAATCGCAACGTTATGAATTAAAAGTAAAAATTCATTTTTGCCCGCGTTGTGCCTCGTGTGTGAGATTGATTGAGGCTTCTTGAAAGAATTATCTAGTTAACTTTTGAGGATTTCGGAATTCATGATAGTTTACTTATCCTGATACTTACAATTTTTACGTTATGGAATTCCCTTGTGTTGCCGGAAAGAATTCCTCTTCGCACTTAAATGTTTCAGGGAAATTAACATCGTTACTGGGACGTATACATAGCGACTTACGTGTTGCTCGAACGAAGGAAAAGTAACTTTCAGACCAATTGGTTCAGACTTTTTAGAAGTGTAGGTTTCATCTGAGGCGATGTTGATTTTACCAACTATCATATAGCTACCTCTTTCAACTAGAGGATAGAGGAAGAGGAAATCGAAAGTGTCAGAATGGCTCTAAAAATCTGAATTGAATTCATTTACGAACTGAAGTATCAAAGTAACCACGAATTTTATTGTCATCTATCGATTATTAGTGATATAGATAAATATATTTATCTTTGTTTAAGTTAAATTGGATAATATTACTAGCACGTAACATTGTCTTCACTAGAGATAATGAAATTCATTGAAATTAATACCGTATTGGCGCGAGTCGTCTAAGTCTCATCTTTTCCCTTTATTTCCTATGTTACCAGAAAAACAGGTGTGAGTGATTAACCCTTTAAACTATCTTATACGAAAAACAGGCCCCACTGGCGCACTATTTTCCTGTTATTCGATACTCGAAAGAAAAATCAAGTGAGCTCCACTCTGAGATAGTTCTTCGCTGATATCTCTCACTATCTACAAGCCACGCTCGCTTCCAACGCTGGGAATCGTGGCACATGTGCCGATATATTTGCAGGATATTTAAGTTGGGTCTGCTGCTAGCGTTCTTTTTATTGTACAAATTTATTCGTAGAGGAGCTCTGCAACATATAAGTGTTCGCTTGTTAATAAAAAAATCGCATGTTCTACAATGAAAACTCTGATACACGCATTATGTGGGGCTATCTTCGTAATAGCGTCCATCCAAATTTGGAAAGGTAACTCAATCTAATTCCCTTATTTGGCCCTCTTCATCTCTCTTTGCTTTGCAAATGCTTCAGATGGATCTTATTAGCTTCGACATTTTCAATTATTTTAAATTGATTTACGGTTACAATTGACTTTCGATTTGGGGTAACATGCTCTTTCAATTTGTAATGATAATTGTCATTTAATAATGTTAACAGAGGCTTCTTGCAATTGCAGGTGTTGCAGGAGCGGACGATTTCCGGTACCTGACAGGCTACGCGGGCCTCGGTTTATCCGGCATTCATCACCAGTTCACGGAGTACACACCCGACCTGAGCACCGTGCAGATGGACAACACAATCGAGAGCGCCTGTGGCACTGGATTGTGAGAGCCTTCATTGCAATAGGTTTTGCAAAGCATTCCATTGCGAGTCTAGACTTAATTATGTCGCGGTGGTAACTGGTAAGTAAGTAGCGTTTGCAGCAACTTCAACATTGGACTGATGCCCGCGGTCAGCTTTAAACAGGAAGTGAAATTTTTAAATTAAATTTTGAAAAATTGTTGGGCAAAAAATGTTTTCATAGTTAGGCGTTTAACTATGTTTTTTTCCAATGTTAAAATCTGACTACCTAGAAGAATGATACTTGCTTATTAACAAGGAAAACACCAAGTGATTCACTGAAAAAATTTCTAGGCAACTTATCTCATCAAATGACAGAATATAACGAAATTACTGCTGGACTAGTGAAGAATATTCCTTTAGAGGCTGAACGTGTACAGCTTTAAACTGATTTTAATATGATACCATATTATACTGACTGTAATATGTAATAATATATGATAGATTCTAATGTAACTGGAAATATCACTGGTTTCCATATGAGGGATGATTAATTGGCTCGTCAACAAAGAGATGACGGATTTTCGCAACTCTTTCTTTCCGTTTTCAAAATTTATTTTCTGTAACTATTATGAGTATTATCATTTTTAATGTTCAATGTTTTCAATTTTGAGTTCCATCTATTTCTGCAGCTCAGTTCTACTTCAATCGAAATCAGACCAGTCAAATCGATCATAGTGAATTAGCTTCAATTTAAAAAAACTGATAAGAAACACTATACGCAGACCTCACATTGAAAATAAATAATTTATTTCGACTTACCAAAGCACGTAGATTCATATCTTTTAGGGAATCCGAAGTCCTCGATCGGCCGTAGAATAATACCTTTAATTTGATAAATTGAACATTTCCAGAGCACTTACAAAAATGTCAACGTTTATTTCAATAAAAAGATGGAGAAATATTTGGCTTATATGTGGAGTCAATATTTAACCTCATATGCACAATATCATCGTTCGTATTTTGGTAAGACAATGTCCCATCACGTTGTCTCTTGGACGGCATCAAAGCGTTGGAGATGTAGGTATTGCCTCGCACTCAATGAGGATCAATTTGGGATAATATTCATTGTAATTCGCACTTTTTTTAATTCTCCTGTCAAGTTTTCGTAGTGTGCAGAACTAAGTCGTTTCCTGAAAACTCATATGTTTCAGAACTAATTAAGCTAATTTTTTTATATTTTCAATGAATCAGTAAAACCTTTTAAATTCAACAAAAATCCATCACAAAAATCAGAATAGGCGGAATCAGAGTGACAGAAAATTTACATTAAATAGTTAATCAACTTCTCTAATTCCAACATGGCATTATCATTGAATGTGTAATGTACTGAAACGAGAAACAAATCCACAGTTGGCTGTTCTATGACGCCACGAACTACGCTATGGATTCCATTTCCTGCTCGTGGCATTTAGTGAACCACTGCGGCAATTGGAGCACATATTGCCAGAATATGGTGAGAATAACAGTTGAAGCGCTCTGTTTCATTAAAAGTCATTTTAAATGTTCTTTGCTGTCATTGAACACATGCTTCAGTCACTACATTGCCACATCCTTAAAGACATCGTATGAAAATTGTAGCATGTGATGAAACTCCTAAGGGAATGCCAAAAGGCTAATTAAAATTTGAATAATTGTGCTTTATCCCCGAATGAAGAAGTCGTTTGATCTGCCCTCACGGAGAAGAATCGTCTCCTCTATGTGACGCGTTGCCCTCAGGTTTCGTCGCTCAGACGCGCCGGCAGTCCGCACGGCCTCAACAACGACTATTACAGGGTGGCAGGGTGGCCCAGTGGTTACAGTTCAGAGTACCAAGATTGGCGCAGAGAGGCGCGGGTTCACTCCCAGCTCTGTGCGCCAGTTTCTGGTCAGAAATGGCAAGGAGGCCGGGCGGTTAAGCACAGCAGAATTGAATCAGTGAGTTGTGAGTTCGAGACCGCAGCAAGCTGTGGATGTTCTGCGATGTTAAGAATCGGCGACAGGACTATGGCCTAATAAACGCTGAAACCGCTATTATTATTATTATTACAATCTGTATGCCCGCAGGTGTCGTCGTTCAGATACGCCGGCAGTCCGTACGGCCTCGACAACGACTATTACAATCTGTATGCCCGCTGGTGTCGTCGCTCAGATACGCCGGCAGTCCGTACGGCCTCAACAACGACTATTACAATCTGGATGCCCGCAGGTGTCGTCGCTCAGATACGCCGGCAGTCCGTACGGCCTTAACAACGACTATTACAATCTGTATGCCCGCAGGTGTCGTCGCTCAGATACGCCGGCAGTCCACACGGCCTCAACAACAACTATTACAATTTGTATGAAGGCACGTCCTTCCGCGGCGAAGAGTTCAGAGGCGACGAGGACGCTGCGCAATTGGGCGACTTGGATCTGGCCGTCTCGTCTCTGATAGTGACCGGCCAGGCCGCGTGGACCTTCTATACGTGAGTTCCAGCAGCCGTCTAGTGATGGTGTAATGGCAATTTAAATATATCATCACTGTTATTGAAAGTTTTTATAACTAATACTCAAATATATTTCAATAAAATCTGAAGCTCAACAAGCAGTTCATTGAATATCGTAATAAAACTTATTATTTGCCCAAGGATGATGAAAAAATGAATCATAACTACAACGTTAATAAATTAATTTGAAACTTTTTCCAAACTCACATAGCAGTTATTTCATTTCGTTGAAAACCTAAATTTGAATAACTATAAAAAATATTTTGGCTCGTGCTTTACTACAACTTTTTCCCATGTTAAGATAAATCCTAACTTTCAGAGGCCTTGACTTCACTGGCGCCACCGTCTGCGTGTACGCCGACGAGACAACCACCAACAGCGGCATTGACCTCGACTTCGCTCGCATCGAAAATGTGAGATGACAGTCTTTTCCGTCGCGGCTGCTTCAGCGAGCGCGTGGTGGGCGCTGCGCCGCGCAGTCACGCCGGCGGAGAACACGTCCAAGCTAGACGCCAACTGAACTGAGGTGCCGGCTGTGCGTTGCATCGATACATACATTCTTGCTATCAACAGAAGTATATATGCAACTACTGCATGAAGAAGAGTGGCGAAGTGTTCGTGCTCATTGAGACAGCATTTGTGCAAAGTTCTTGCTCCTTGCCCGTTTTTGCTTCAAGGTGGTCTATAATTTATTGGACAATTGCCTTCCAGCTTGGTTTTTATAATTTATTTATAATCCCGCTGGAAATATATTATAAAATATATATGTTAATCCAATATTCCTTAATTCCCCATGTAAAATCACTTCCAGTACCGTATCTAAATCTCCCAACATAAGAAGAGTTGTTTTTGCCCAACTAAACAAAAGTGATCTACCGTCATAATCGATCATAATTTCACTGTCTCTATATTTTAACGTGCTGCCTACTCAATATTGATTAACTCAATTGCCTCGTTCCCTGAGAATCGCAGCGTTATGAATTAAAAGTAAATATTACTTTACCTAAGTTGAGCCTCGTGCGTAGAAGTGATTGAGCCTTTTTTGAAGGATTACCTATTTATTTTTTAGAAAATTTCAAAATTCATGAAAGTTTTCTTATACTGTTCACTACAATTTTCACGAGATGGAGAACGTTTTGTTGTCGGGTATAAGGTTCCCCTGCGAACTTGAATGTTTCTAGGGAACCAACATCATTGCTGGACACCTCTAACAATTCACTTGAATTGATTCAGAATTCGTATATAGTAAATAAATTGATTCTAGAATTTGAGCAACCACTTACCTCAGTAGCTATACTATTACTCTACTCCGCATACACCAAAGTTAACATTAGGAAATCCTGGACTCGTAATACAATCTCAAATGAGAATTGTGAGCTCATATTTTTTGCTCGGGGGCACTGTCAACCAATTGGGAATTGATCTCGTACCAAATGCTCTTCGCAACTTGCATAGAACCTATGAACTGGGCTTCCTATTTACTCAAGTTAAGAAATCATCTTTTTAGTTAGTTAGTTTTTATTAAACTGTACTGTTATGGCTGCAAGGGTAAAAATTTAAGAAGCTAAAAGCTCCGAGTTTCAGTTATCTTATTTGGGAAGAGTTCATTATTGACTTTATGTGACTTTGCGAGAAGAAATTTATGTGTTGAAATTGTAGAAAATCCTTACCTTCTATAAGATAATTTCGGTCGGATGACAATAGATATTGTTAGGGTTTTGACTAATTCACCATTTAATTTGGCTAATTATAAATTTCAGCTTTTCTTTTAATTCGGTGTGGGCAACCATCTTTGTTTTTCTTAATCTGAATTTGAATATTAAGGCTAACTTCAAATTTATGAAAAGTAGGATTGTCAATTTAGCTTTTCCCGCTAGATCTAGCGTGTTTTCAACGCATTCCGCTGGGAAAATGAGCTCTAACGAGAAAAATGCATGTAAAAGGTACTTAAAATGATCTTTTCAGCTACAAAGTTCGAACTTTTAGTTTATCTTTGCTTGAAAATGCCAGGTTTTACCTTGGAAGTCAATGAATGAGTTGGCACTACTGGTGCGAGGCCTGAGACAGCCAGCCAGTCAGATTCTTATAACGACCGCCCAGAACGCCACTCCTGGGCCTATACTTTCAAAAAAAGTTTAGAGTTCGTAAGTTCATCAGCCAATCATTGACGGCCTTTCAAGCAAAATCCACCAATCATAGACAAGAAAATAGAGCGTAAGTACTTACGTTTCACTTAGCGAGTTTTGAAAGTATGGCCCCTGGAGTCTTTAAGAGTCTAAGTCTTTAAGAATCTAAGGAATCGTCGTGCAAAGTGAGTTGAAATCAGTTTTCAATTCTATGTTAACTATCATAAACACTATAAATCAAAGAATTTATACAGGACAAATAAATCTATTAATAAAGAATTTTTGGACCGTTCCAAGACAGAAACAGTTCATTGATTACATTCTTTCTTATAAATATATTCATCAATTTGCACATATGTGCTCCCCTGTTGCTAAAAATAAAATAATATGGACTAATGAGTGGTTTTAACGTCAGGTCAGTGGGGTATTAATTATACAAGTCGTTAACGAATTACTTGGATAAATTTGTCACGGAATACTTCAACCACGGTGACCACCGATTTTGACCCATCCGCCTAACCTCCTTTGACCTATCCGCCTTTTTATCTTGCAATTAATATAACTTAAAGTGCTAGCCTGTTCAACCTACGGCCTTTTATAGGAGATTTTATTGCCCATCAGTAGTTTCCTCAATAGTGTTTCCCACGATCAATGATTCGTGGAGAAGACTTGGCAAAAAATTCAATAACAGGACTTCTGTTGACTGGTTTTGCATGTTGCATGCTCATGTCCACCTGATTGACTCAACTTTTGACGCAAACAAGTGTATTTCCTCTTTTGAATAGATTTTTTAGCCGCTTGTATGATTCGACCTTTGTTGAAGGCTCAAATGAAATGACCCATTGCTGAACGGCAGCGGTATTTATTATCCTCTCAATTTTTATGGTGTTGTTACTGAATGTAGGAAGAATTGGCCAATACGTCAATATTCCATCAATATTTATTTATGTCATTAAACATTTATTGTTCCTTCATCATTTGATTAGAAACAGATGGTAAATATCATAATATAACGGATGCATGGGCCTCGAGCCTCGTGATTAAAAATAATGTTAAGTTATATTTGTTAAACTTTCTTGAAATCTTGATCTTTCTAAGATAATATCCTAACATCAACCCTGAAAATTAATTTAAAAATTCAGATGCGAGTCTGACTCTGAAATATGCGTAGCTTAGGATTCAGGAAGCACGTAAATAATTGCCGCTGTAAAGGGCAGCCTCTAGCAGCTGGGCAGCTTCCCAGCTAGGTATGACTCAGTGCGTCTAACCTTTCTCATGATGTCAGGCGATTGTAAAGCCAGAAAGAGGATTCTGACCAGAAGCTGATTTCAAACAAGTGGTCTAGAAACTCGGAGTAACTTTGAGTTGATTAACTTCACTCGTGGGCTGAAGCCGAGGTGGTGAACGAATTTTGTTAGGGAAACAGCTTGATTGATCGAGAATTTCTTGTTACCAAATGCATGTGCAGTTGAATCCCAATTGAAGGTATGTCATTGGGATCATTACACATTTAATCACTATAGCAATTCATCATTGCACATTTTATCATTTTAGCAATTCATCATTTGTTAGGTTGGTTAGGCAATGTTAGATTAAGTTAGGTTGGGTTACACCCACATGTACTTATGTCGGCAAAATACACTTATGCAATGGTGAAATTTAGTCGTGAGGTATGCAATGATGAACGGTGAAATGTGCAATGATGATTGATGAAGTGCATCAACGATGAAATGGGTCAAAGATAAAATTTCCAATATAAATTGCTGTAGTGATGAAATGTGTCGATGATGAAATGTCTCGCATGATAAGATGTCAAAGAAACATGTCATTGACAATGAGGTTTTCTCAGCATGATTCGGTTATCTGAGGATGATAGTATAAATTATGTTTTTTCTGGCAAATTTTTCGTGTATTTTTCCTTGAGCTTGCATTTCGAAATCCTGCGCATTAAAACGTGATGCATAGAAGTTTGCATCTGAGGCGATGATGATTGTACCAATTGTTTAGTTACCTGTTTCCACTAGAGAGCAGAGGGAGATGCAATAGAAAATGTCTGCATTGGCTCCAGAAAATTGTTTACTTACGAATGAAAGTACCAAGATAAGCGCGAATTTGATGGTCATCTATAATTTATCACTGATCTTGATAATATATGTGTTTCACTTTTACAATATTACTAGCACGTCTCAGTGTTCTCGCTAAAGATAAGGAAGCTCGTTAAAATTAATATTGCAATGTCGTGAAACGTGGAATGTGTAATCTAATATCTTTATATCCTATCTTTTGTGAAGAACAGGTGTGAGTGAAGAAATATCTCATCTAAACTGACCTTTTAAACCATCTTCTCCGAAAAACAAGCCGTACTGGGGCCGAAAATTTTTCCTGTTAATCGACACTCGAAAAAGACATCAACTGCATGAGCACTCTTAGATAGTTCTGCGCGGATATCTCTTACTACCTACAGAAGCCACGCTTGCTTCCAACGCTGGGAATCGCGGCACTTGCGTCGATTGCTGCGTCTCGCCAAGGCACTCAAGTAGTGTGTGATGCTAGCGTGCCTTCTATTAAACAACTGTCTTCGTAGAAGAGCTCTGCAACATTAAGCATTCGCTGGTTCATAACAAAGTAAATCCACAATGAAAATTCTGATACATGCAATCTACGGGACATTCTTCCTTATAGCGTCCACTCAACGTTGGAAAGGTAACTCAATCTAATTCGCTTATTTGGCCCATTGCATCTCTCTTTGAANCCCATACTATCACTTCTTACACACGCCGTAAGCCTTACTGGCCGCAGACCACGCCGGATCACCGTAAACCTGCTGTGCTATTTGCAGGACTGGCGTAATCCCGCCGCACTCCACGGGCAGAAGCGCAAACCACTGTCCCTATAACGCCATGCCCCGGCTCTCCCCCTTCACAGCCATAAGGCTTTCTTCAATTGCTGATCAGTTGTGCGCCAGGTTAGGTTAGGTTAGGTTAGGATAGGTTAGGTTAGGTCCCTCCATCGCCCAGACGCATTACTGATCGGGCAACGAGAAAAGCCTTCTGCTGGCTGCGAAGAGGGAGAGCCGGGGCAAGGCGTTATAGGGACGGCGGTTTGCGCTTTAGCCTGTGGAGTAGAGCGCCATGAAGCAGTGGCTGTGACGTAACGGCGCTGTTATGTCGGGCGCTTATTTTCAAAAGCCGCGAATACGCCAGGCTGTGTTTAATACAAGCACGCAACAGTTTGGCTATTTGCCCATGGCTGTTGCTTCGGTGGCTTGATGTTATTTGGCTGATTGA